TATATATGTTTTAATTATCACTCCGATTGCATAAGGTTGGACGCACGTCTGGTTATATGGATGAGCTTTTGTTTTTGTGTGAGAGAAAGTGAACTAAAAAAACCGTAATTTTAACCAAGACAAGGAAAGAAAAGACCAATTGAGTCGACTCTTTTTGCAGGCGGCTCAACACTTTATTCTTAAATCTATTAGTTAAGCACAAGTAGTCTTTACATAACTTCTTGCTAGTATTTTCTGTTTAACATATTGCCTGTTCGGTTTATTTCGATGGCCTCCTTAATTGTACGTTTAGCCGCAGCCATACCATAACCAGCAAAAATACAAGTTTGAGACTATTCAATCTCGTGTCCCGTTTCTGACTGGGCTCAACCAGCTCCGATTTTTCAACCCAACAGCCTCTGCAGGCGCTTTTGTGCTCAGCCACTATTTGTAGAATGAGACGGCAAGTTTCTTTAACATAAAAGCGACCAAATGAACACATTATTTTGTAGCAACCCGATCTGGACAATGGGTCAACTTTCTCTCTTAAAGTGGGCATAACTGAAGAAAGTGTCGTAGTCTCTTTGAAAACCGTTTTTATTCTTCACTTCTTTTTAGAGCGAATGCACGAAAGCAAAGAGAAAACATGGCATATGGTCACCTTATCTCTCCTCACATATCCACCATTCAAAAAGTTGTTCTTTGTTGACCTAATGTTAGTTTCAATCACCTAGGGAATAATTATTCTCGAGTAATATTAATTTGAGCCCATCCATTTTATTATTACAATGGTTTTCATCGTATACTCATGGATTTTAAAACGCCAACCTTTGATTTGTAACTATGGTTGGAGAAGAAATTAAGAATAAAGCCATCGTGTATTGGCCTTCCATATACATACCTGCTTAAATTCTCACCTGCTCTGATCACTAAAACATCCGAAATGTTAACTTATTGTCCTTCTCCATCTCCATTATCAATTTAACATTGCAATCAATCTGGCTAATTAAGAAGAAGAAATTTTCTAAACTATCCTTACCACTCTGCCATATGGCAAAGTAGTCATCAATATGTCTAACTACCAGTTTTGGTGTCTATCATACCTCTTCCATGAACCGTTTATCCATTCTTGACATCTAATTATTCACTAAAATGGGAGTCAAACAAGATCCTATTGCTTGGATCTTTACTAAAAGTGTATATGTTTCTGAGCCATCATTTTTTGCCATATAACTTAACCTAGCCATGATGACTAGTGCACTACCTTTATCATTTTTTGTGCGGATGTCTAGAACTCACAAAGTCAAGAACTAGACGTCATAAGATTTATTTGGCATAATTACTTGTTCGAAATGAGGGATCAATTATCTTTCTATACTATTCTTAGCCTCTTCTAGCATCTTATGTCGAGTTTATTAATTCAACCATTATTTCCATAGAATGATTTTACTCATTTAGGAGCTTAACATTATCTATAGGTATACTGGATAAATTAATTACTTAATTTTTGCTAGAACAATTAGCGCTAAGTTTAACTGCATCCTTACTATTTCGAATAATCCTTGAGTTGATTTTATTGTCTAAGTTCCTTAATTTTTTATCATGTCGGTGTCTGTGAATCTTATCCATCCTTACCGCTAGTCCATCGGCCATATTTTTTTATTTGAGAAGGTCTTCTCGACAAAGGGCTTGTCTAGTCATGGTTTGGGTTTTAATCTGGTCATATACTTTGTCTATACTTTGTTTTAATTTAGTATTAACCAAACCACATGATATCTGTTCCTGTTTCCTATTAGTGGAAATAGATAAACTCGGGGGCCTTCCAAGAAAGCAACATCTAGGTACTTCAATATGTGGAATACACATTTTTAGATCTAAAAGTTTAGACTTTCCGGAATATAGATTTCTTCGTTTTCGTATAGCTAAAAGGAAGTTGATAAGAATTTTTACCATACGTACTTAGTGTATGCGAATTAACGTTGTTTCTAGAGATCTCTTGTTTCATAATTATTAAGCCTACTTCCATTTTGAGCAAAAGCTTTTGCTGAAGAGATTCGAATGTCAATGACAACAGAAGACAACTGTGGATTCCTTTTAATCACCAGTCGATTAAAGTTAGTTCATGTATAGGAAGCGAATGGAGTGGCAGCTGTTTTCTTGCATAAATAAATTACCGTACGATCCTCTAATGTTCAAGTGTGTGCTATTGTCTATTATGTATATGTAATGTTTATGCCATGAAGCTCTTTCTCTTAATCAGCGGCTCTTTCTGCTATCCCACTCCTTAAGCCTATCCAACAGCCACAAGTAGTTCCTACCCAATTTCCTACATTCGTTCCTCCTATTCAGGATGTTGGCTGTTTTGTTAATTTCTAAAGATTCCCTAAGCTTACGCTTGCATGTGAAGTCCCCGTATTAGCAAGCATTGTGTTTTGGACCAGTCTATTGAGAGTCTTGTATTCGCTGAGTACTCATCGAGTTCAGATTGCTGAACACAGACCTTTACAAGCGGTTTTGTGTTCTTATACTCCCTTCTGAATGTGTCGGTAGGTACCCCCCCACATGGATATTACCACATGAGCACAAAGCCTTGTATCAACCGGATCCAGAAAGAAGTTCCGAAAATTCTCTAAAACAATGCACTAGTGAAGAAAGTATTAATCTCTTTTTATACAATGTTCTGATGTCCCACTTGCACAGTAAGTCACCCAACCTTTTCTCAAGTTGGCAGGAAGGCAAAATCAGGAGCCAACTGGAATTGCCCATCTATCTGTCCCACACCAAATAACAATCTCCCTCATCCTATAAATGAGCGTTGAAATGTAATTATCTATTAATCTTAATGTATACCCACGTGTGTGGATTTATTATAAATGTCTCTACCCAACTTGTTAGCTTATTTGTTCATCAATACGAGCAGAAATGACAATCTATTCTTCTTTATTAATCCATAATAAATTTAGTAATGCCATTTATTCTGGTCATCAACTCGAGGAATTCCTCCGAGCTATCTTTTTCGGGTTTTCATATAGCAAAGTAATTGTCCATATATCTAACCAATAACTTTGGTACTAGAAGTACCCCTGGAAGCAAATGAACCTCCAATTAAGCCCTGTAGGTATCAGCTAAAATATGGGATAAACAAGGTACCATAGCAAAACCATGTGTTTGTTCATATCTACTATTCATGGTCAAATCGACTAGTCCAATGATTGAATATCTGTCCTCGTATTCAACGGCATTTGTGGCAGTGTGGCGCAGTGGTTAATTAATCGAGACTATATGATGCACTGCCCGGATTCGAGTTTCTCTGGGGGTGCTGATGAGCCATAGCCAAGGTCGAAACTGCAGTCCACCCTGGAGGATAATACTTTTTGGGAAGCAAGGCTACGTAAAACTAGGTAGAAACTTGAGGTTTACTCATATCATTGTCAGAAAACTTAACTATCAGACCTTCATCACCTTAAGCAAAATATGCTGAATTTATCTCATATATGCTCCAAATTTATATTTGAAATTCACTCTTCATTGTCCATACCTCCTCTTCCTGTTTAAAATCAGAGATATTCGAAGTCTCTTCAAGCTCAGCGTCTCTTCGGCCTTTCTGGCTAGTGCCTCTGAATTGTTGGAAGCTGCGACTCTGCAGCAGCCTCTTTCTACATCCCACCTACTCTCAGCCCTCTTTGCCGAGGCGGCTCATTACAAGCCATTCAATTTATGCTCCGTGGTAGCAAGCATGATGTTCCAGACGCCAGAGCAAGCGACAACCGATAGCAGCAGTTCTGGACGGCCAGTACCTCTGCGTTGGACCGACATTGGTGGTTATGATGAAGTTAAACACCTGCTGCAAGAGAGTGTGCAGGACCGTCTAGCAAACCGAGTTGATCCAGACAGCTGGGAATACCGTCTTGACGATTGTCTTGGTCTCTCAGTGCCCCGTGGCATCCTGCTTCATGGGCCTCCAGGTGAGTTTGCTACGTTAAGTCGGTCATTAGGGTGAATCGGCCATCGTGCTCAAGAAAAGCTTTGGATTTTGAGCATACATTGTTCTTTATAACTTCTTAATTTAAAACGCACCTTCTCTCATGTCAAATTCGATTCAATTCCTACATGAAAGCCGTTCCATTTTGCCTTTATTGGGCCCCAATCCATGGCCAAAATAATAATCTAAGCCTTTGCTTGTAGTTACTATCTTAAGAACTTAGCTAGTTTTGGGTTGACCTCGTTGTCGCAACTTGGTCTTGTTGTCAGGGGGACTTAGTAGAGCGCACCTAGTCCAAAGTCCTCTGCCATAGTAGTTGTCATGATTCCCAGCATCAGACAGTGGACTTGGTACACTCCCAAACATTTTGCGGCGTCGTAGTCGGAAACAACTACTATGGCAGACGACTTCGGACTAGGTGCGCTCTACTA